AGTGACGCAGATAAAAGGAAACACTTTATGCTCTCTGTGAAGATGTTGTACGGAAACAGCACAAACATAGGAGTGTTCCTTAGCAAGAGGATCAAAGTCATCTCCAAGCCCTCCAAGAAGAAACAGTCCCTGAAAAATGCAGATTGTGAGTTGCAGGCTGTGTCAGGCCCCTCACTAACACATACATGGTAGCTCATGTAAAAACAGCAGTATGGTTCCACTACATTCTGATATTTAATTCTACAATATAAACAGTCAATTAAATACTTATGGTTATGTTTTGGTTTGGAAAAAGACTTTTTTTTTCCTCCCCAGTGTGTATAGCTTCGGGGACTAAAGTGGCATTGTTTAATCGCCTGCGTTCCCAGACGGTCAGCACCAGATATCTTCATGTGGAAGGGGGAAACTTTCATGCCAGCTCCCTGCAGTGGGGGGCCTTCTATATCCACCTCTGTGAGTCTCACCTTTTCTTTATCTGTTTTCTTTTTCCCCATTTTATTTTTAAACTCTGTCCTTTTCTGCTTTTGTCTCCGTACGACAGGGCACCTGCTTTAAGTGGCTGCACACATTTTAATGTGTTGTGTTGTTTGATCGGTTGATTTTTGATTTAAGGTCGAGAGGGAGTTTTAGACATTTAAATAGTTGTGTTCTGTCATTTTGTTTAGTGGATGATGAGGAGTCTGAAGGGGAGGAGTTTGCTGTGAGAGATGGCTACATCCACTATGGCCAGACAGTCAAACTGGTCTGTTCTGTTACTGGCATGGCACTGCCCAGACTGGTATACATGTCTTTATGTCAAATACGCTGTAAGACAGTGAGCAGTTAAAAAAAAAGTAGGGAAGTGGATAGCTGTGCAGTGTTTTCAAATGTGTTAAGTTGTACACATATATAGCACGTTATTGGTTTCTGTGTATGTGTGTGCCTTAATTCCTCAGATCATTCGCAAAGTTGACAAGCAGGCTGTGTTACTGGATGCAGATGACCCAGTGTCCCAGCTCCACAAGTGTTCCTTCTACCTGAAAGATACAGACAGGATGTATCTCTGTCTCTCACAGGAGAGAATCATCCAGTTCCAGGTGTGCAGTCACTCTGTATCTGTTGATGTGATTTTAATTCAAAGTCTGCTTTCAAATCTGGTTCTTATAAAGTCTCAGTTTCAATTTTTTTTTTTTTTATGTCTTAAAGAAACTCCTGGAGGATTTTATTATAAGTCTTTTCTTTTTCTTAATCTTGAGAAGCAGCTTGTTCCAGATGTAGTTAACCCTGTGCTGTATTCCCATTTCAAGATTTTACTTGGCATAGAAACATGGGACTCTAGGTTTATGCTCTGCCTATCAATTGTAATTAGTAAGGCCCCGTTTAGACTTGGTATTAAAATGCTTTGCAGTGATCCAAACAGAAGTGGACAGCTGAAACGCATCACTGTTCACACCTGCCAATATTCATTCGTCTCCAATGAGCCCAGCTGACCACTTGTGTTCAGATTTCATTACTACTTCCGCTTAAATATCAAAAGGCCATGGGCACGGTCTGTTGCCAGACAAGTGCCAGTAGTCTCCCAGACCAAAGAGGAAGCGAAACACAAGTATCAGATTTGTAAGTGGATGTTTTATGAAATCTTTCATAATACATTGATGGATTTGTATTGGACGTTTCTCTCTCTTTTTGAGCATTGGCGAGAAGCAACCTCCACATCCCGCATCGATGATGTATTTTTCCTCGAACAAGGCCGTTCGAGGACAGATTAGCGTTTACACTACAAAAGATATGTAGTCAAATGCGCCCCATACCACCTCAGCACACAGTTTCAGTGATCCAGTCACAGTTTCTCTTGGTCTTGTCCGTTTGTGATCCAATTGCCCAGGATACATTTTAAAACCAAGTCTAAGCTCAGTTTCAGTGAAATCATGTCAATTGCTGTGGAGAGGAAGCCTGTCAGTGGCAGGAATCAGCGCTGTAGCAAATTTCTGTTGCTTTGATTTTGCAGTTACCAACAAAACACAACACCAGAGCTGCCAAATTCATTTTTAATTTACCCAGAAGTCAAATATGAATTAGTTTAAGATGCAGATTATTACCTCTGTCTTGGCAGCCAGGACATGAGGTCACAAGTGTTTTGTTTGTTGGTTGGTTTGTTCACAGTATAATTGCAAACATAATGAATGGATTTGGTTGAAATGTTTTGGAGAGGTACGATATGGCCCATGAAACAATGCAATAGATTTTGGTGCTGATCTAGATCATCATCCAGATGTGTCATCATCCACGTGTCTTTTTCTCCTCATTAGATATAAAAGTGGGGACTGTAACCTATTTCTGTTGGGGGGGTTTCCCCAGGCCACACCATGCTCCAAAGAGACTAACAAGGAGATCATTAACGATGGGGCGTCCTGGACCATCATTAGCACTGACAAGGCAGAGTACACCTTTTATGAGGGCATGGGCCCTGTCCCCACACCAGTCACACCTGTCCCTGTGGTAGAAAGTCTGCAGGTATGCACACAGCCTTCCCAGTTCAAAATATGTTTAAGCTTTTTTTTTTTCCAGTAAATATGAGAGGCATTCTAATTACAAATCACTTCCTTTTAGAGTTTTTACTTAGCTTGTAGGGACCATTTAAAGACAAAATCTTTTTTGTTGGTCTGTCTTAAGTTAAATGGTGGAGGAGATGTGGCAATGTTGGAGCTGACAGGACAGAACTTCACCCCTAAACTCAGAGTGTGGTTCGGCGATGTGGAGGCTGACACAATGTACAGGTGAGTGCTTACGTATATCTGTGTGCAGTGTGCAGTTGTTCAAATAACCAAAGCTTGCCTCATCCGTCTGCCCCCTAAGATGTGGTGAGAGCGTCCTGTGTGTGGTGCCGGACATCTCTGCCTTCAGGGAGGGCTGGCGCTGGGTGAGGCAGCCAGTGCAGGTACCTGTCACATTGGTCCGCAATGATGGAATCATCTATGCAACCGCCCTCACTTTCACCTACACCCCTGAGCCAGGGCCACGACCTCACTGCAGTGCTGCTGGGGCCATTTTGCGATCACATAGTACTTCATCATCAGCGGCATCTTTATCTTCACCATCATCACAGGGTGGGGATGGTCAGGGGGCTTACAACAGTACTGACTCAGGCATGTCATCAGAAGCATCGGCCATGTCCATGCTGTCATAGTAATACTTATTTTGTGTGTGTGCTGTTTTGTATGTGTGCTGTCAATGGCTGAGTGAGAAAATGTGTGTGTGTACTTTCCAAAGAGGCTCATGGACCTGTGAAGAATTACTTAGAGAGCGACTGGAATCGTGAGGAATGCAGGAGAGAGCTGAAGAAAAATACTTGGGATAAATGACACTTCTCTTTAGCTCCCCCTTGTGGATTGCTCTGGACATGTCATAAGGTGGAACTTCATAGACAAGATTGTCACCTAAAAAATGACAGATTTGTCTTCTCTCTCTCTTTTTACTGAGGCCATGTTTTACTGAAAAGCATGTGGATTTATCTGTTGTGTGTAAGGGAAATATTTTGTTGTAAGAGTAACATAGTTTTTACAGACCAAGAAATATTATTTTATACATATTTTATTGCATATGTACATTTGACACTTTTTGTATGACCCTGTATAGTAACTTCACTTTTTTACCAAATAGTTTGTTTTTTTTTATGTTGGCTTAATTGAATTTTGTGTCAATGGAGTGGTTGTGATGAAAATGACATGTTTATACATTAGCTCTAATAGTCAGGCAGCAGCTTTTTAAATTTCTCCTCACCTGCTTTTTAGCCTCCAAATACCTACTTATTTAATTGTCATTACAGAACTTTTAGCATCTCTGTAGGCTGTATAATAATGGAAAAGAAATGATCAGGCTGTTGTTTTCAAGGAGGCACTTTAGACAACGAATACCTGTATCTGTCTGCACTTGCTGGCTGATCAGCCTCTTACTGCTTTTTATATGAAAGATGAGTGAAGTAAGCTGCTTGCTTCTGTGAAATGCACTACCAGTGTATAAGATCTAAGTTTTCTAAACCGTTGCTGTTTTTGTACCCAAGTGCTCTAAAACTGAAGCATGACCAGTCCCTCTCGTACCATAGCCATGTAGACAACCATGCTTTTTTTTTTTCACAAATAGTGAAGCCGTAAACACAATTATTCAATCGGAAGAATTTGGGATTCTGATCTTTTTGAAATATTTTCAGAGAAAGTCAAGACTCCATGTTTACTGACTTTCTGGCTATAAATTCCTTCATTTATAAGGGCCTTAATTTTCCTTTTCAGTTTGTGCTTATGTCTACCTTGTTGTTTGCAGCACATTTCATTTATTGGTCAGTAACACGACACTGAGATGGAGCCTTGTGGGATCAGGTTTTGCCAAACATTGACTGCAAATAAAGTAGAACTAATCTTAATACAATCGGCTGTGTGCATTGGGTTTCCTTCAGTTTGTTGCCTTAAAACCTCTACCTACTGAATCTGTTTTTCTTAACATTACATACAAAGTATCCTGACTTCCATCATGCTTTTTGTATCATACACTATATCATGTTTTGAGATTGATATGAAAATATGTGGTAAGTAAATAGTGTATGTTAGGTTGGCCAGCTTATTGCTAACTAGATGTTTTTCTGACTCGTGAATCACCTTATTTCTTGCTTATGTCTTTTCAGCATGCCTATGAAGTCAATTTGTATAGTTAAATATTTACATCATAACAATCCAGCAGCATCTCTGTGTGGCACCATCAAGCCCCATCTGACCAGTCCTTGTGTCCTTTCTCTGTCATCACTGTCTTTTCATACTTTAAATATACAGTAGATGCAGGTAGATACTGTACAGTAGGTGCATCATCTCTTGATTAATAAAAATGGCCTTATACTTGTAGAACACTTTTCTGTACATTGCTGCACACTCAAAGGGCTTTCACACTATTTGGCGATTCACCCATTTGCACTCCCATGCACTCACACATTCACGCACCAGTGACATCACTGGGAGCAACTGGGGATTCATAAAAAGGTTTTATGAAAGTTCTGCTATAGCAGGTTTGTGTTTCAGTCTTCACACTAATCTGATCCCTGCCTGGTTCTGCTTTGATGGGGTGGGGGGTTTTTTGTCCTTTGCACATCTTTATAAAATATCTGCTTATTTTAGTTGATTGCATTTTATGTGACTGTAATGTTTCTTCTTTGTGTCTGCATTCACACCTGTGTGTGTGTGTGTGTGTGTGTGTGTTATGGTCAGTCAAGTTGCCATGTGCTGCTCAATGTAAACAAGGCTAGGTATGATGCAATCTAGTACTGTCATAAGGTCAGCTGTGAGCTAGCAGGCTAAAACACCCTCATTATGTCATCAGACTGGCAGCTTTAAGAACATTTTCATTGCTCTTGTGTTTATGTCTGAAATTGCCCTATTGAGGGATCAATAAAGTACCTACCTATATGATAAATGTATTTACTTTTATTTCCTACTATTTGATTCTTATTGTTCTTTCCCTGTCATCCATCCATTTCAGCCTGGTGTGTTCATTTCTTTATAAGTAAATCAATCTGCCAAGATTCTTCAGTAAAGAAAGCTCACAAATAAAAGAGCCAAAGCTAAATGTAACTATAGTGTTATGTTGCTGTTGGAGTTGGGTATTATGGGTTATTATCTATGGATTATAATGCACATGTAATGTATTTATTGGACATTTGCCACTTGGACATGCTCCACAGGCTAAACACCATATCAGCCTCACTATTTTTAAACTAGGATCTGGATCGCTGGAATGAAACCCGACACTTTGTTACTGTTAATGTCTGTGTATGTCTGAATGCATGAACACATAGCTCTGTGGTCTGTTTGTATCACTCACACTCTTGATGTTTCTAAATATTTTAGTTTGAGACAAACTGTGTGTGTCTGTTTCTGTAAATTTGTGTCAAGGAAACTAAAAGCCACACATGGACATCATGTGTCCATAGGCGTCCCAATAAACAGGTGTACAGACATTTGCTATGCCAATCCATATGGTTGAGGCCTGGGAGCTTGAGGGTCCTGCACAGTATCTTAGCTCTTCCTAGGCCTGCACTCTTCTGGACAGAGATCTCAGATGTTGATCCTGGGATCTGTGGGTGCAAACCCCCAGTTTGGGGGTCACAGCCCCCAATGTTCTTATTTCCATGGGGACCACTTGAGCCTTCACCTTCCACATCTTTTCTAACCCCTCTTTCAGCTCTTGGTATTTCTCAAGCTTCTATATACATATATGTGTATGTATACACACACACACTCGCCGGCCACTTTATTAGTTACACCTGTTTAATGGTATGCAATTAAATGCAACACTTTCGCTTTAAGATCTATTTTCATGAAGCTCAGAATGTTTGTTTTTGGCGAAATTGTCATAAATGTATAGATTCAATGATATGATTATTATTGAGGTCATAGTTTAAAGATTGTGTTGTACTGGGCTACATTATATTCAAAGCTGTCTTTATATCTTTGTCCTCCTTAGCTGCATACATGAGAGGGTCAGAATATTAGGAACACCTCTGAATGTTAAGGCAGAAGTGTTGCATTGAATTGCATACAATTGTACCGGTGTACCTAATGAAGTGGCCAGTGAGTGTAGGTCTTGATCTCGAGCAACACTTCCCATAGTGAGGTTTAATGGGCTTTAACTGACCATCCACCCTAACCAGAATCAGTAGGACCATAAAAGCATAGAAGATGTAGTGTTACCCATCAGTGTTATGCAGCCGTTTGTAACAAATGAAACGCTAAATGCCACAATTCACATACCAAAACATGATATCAACACAAAAGCAAATCTGAATTTTTGACTTTCATGTATATATTTGGTTTGGGGTGTGGGAGGGGAAACCTAATAGGAGCCCTGCTGCTAGAGAGAGAGACAGAGACAGAGAGATGGTTCCCAGACGTAAAAACGTAGGTTAATATTTCAACCGCTCTGGTGGGAACAGAAGAGAGACCAGAGAACTGAACAAATGCGATTGGCTGGTTTATAAAGAGACCAATAGCGGTCATAAAACAAACTTCAAGAGGAACAGAGAGCTAAAGGGGTGTTTTCATGGGCTTCAAATATATCGACATGTGGATCAGTCTCATGACCAGTTATTCTTACATTTTTCATACACTTAGTGTGGATTTCTCATAATAGAATCATCATTTTCATCGTCATTTTCCGGAATCGTTATCCACTTATGGAATATTTTTACGCACAGTCTCCTATTTGGATGACATATTGTTACTGAAAAGTTTATGAAGTGTTTTTGATCTTTTTCTACGGTTCAAGTTGCACACTAATCACGCTCGCCTGATTTATCAAGTGAATCACCAGTATCACATCTCACTTCTGGCTATACCCGTAATAGCAACACAGATCGCTTAACACTTGACAGCGGTGCCTCTTAAACGGGTGGTGGTGCCGGTGTCCGGATATGTTCTTTTCATGCATCTTTTTTGAGGAGTTTTTCAGCTCTGGACGACAAAATTATCTCCGATCTGAAATGCTTCACCTGTCCGTCCTGTTACTCCTCGTTTTCCCTGCTGCGCTCTTTGTGGGCGCGCAAAGCGCAGGAGACCTCCAGGGTTTCACGTTCTCCGGAGGAAGCGCCAGTGTCGACCAAACAGGTATGTGTTGATAGATATATCTGTCTTACAAAAGACAGGCTCAGACTGTTAGGAAAGCTGGACAGTTCGCATTCTTATGCTTGGCAAGGTCTTTGCAACATTTCGACTCTCTCGTTGACAAGGACGTGCCAGTTAGCAGGACACAATCTCATATGTTTGTAGGCTACCGCTGATGACACTCCGTCATCATACTCATACGTTTTAAAATGTGCTTCCCAAATGGAACAAATTATGATTTGTAATTGAGTTTAACTAATTTCAGGTTTGCAAAACGTTTTTTATTTTATTTTTCTTGTATTTTTTCGTTTTCTTTTGGGGTTGGCCTTATTTGATTTACCCTTTTTACTTTGTTTTATTAAAGCCAGTTTATTTAACGTACATCTTGATGACACAAGTAATATTATGTCACAGCTTATCTTGAAAGAGCAGCTCAATGGTCAGAGCATGTCTTGTTTGGAGTCCTTGTGCTTGCATATGCGGCCAAAACGTTTTTTGTTTTTTTTTGGCAAACAAGAACCTTTTATTTGTCTTTGCGTTAAAAAAATAAAGGAAAAGAAAGAAACATTATCGTGCTCCTAACTTGCGGGACTTTGTCCAGGATTTTTTCAAGTATGTCCACAGGACTCATGAAGTTATTCCAGTCTTGTGCCCAGGATTCCAGGTTAATCTCAGGTCATATGCAGATAATGCGCGCGCACACACGCGGTTCAGGGGACCTTTGCATACACCATTGATATTTGATAGCCCATCCAGCTGAGAGGTCTCCTCCCTGTTGAGAAATTCAGGTTTCATCAACAACCATGGGGTCAGTGTCTTTCCTCCGTACATTGGTTGTTTACCTTTCCTGCGGGAATGAACAGATGGACATGGATCTGTCTCAGACGTTAAGACAGTCAAGAATTTTAGCTATTTATTTCCCCACCAAGTAATTATCTTGAAAAGAACAGTTTATATCTGTGGCTACATTTCTCCAGCAAAGAAGCAAGGACTCATTTTAAGTTTGTGTCATTCCTTCTGCATCTATAGAAGCATCCTTTAGCACTTGTGATGCTTTTCTAGCAGTGTAGTGGACCACATCACAAGATCATCTTGCACTACCATGCTCCTATGGTCCAGTGCTGACTTCTATTGATGGGTTAGTTGCAACAGGATTTGTTCCACATAAAATAGTACTACTGAGACCAGTGCTGACATGTTTGCTAAAGTGTTCTGAGGTTAATGCCACAGCTCTTAGAAATAAGAGTCACTTTTTCCCCACACCTTTATTCTTCCTTATATTGGGAGCTAGTGTCACTGTAGCTGGATATGAGAATGCATATAACTAGCAGACCTTTGAACCCCACCCCCTCATTCCCTTGGCGCATCAAAACTCTAAACTCACACAGACAGAAATGGGCTCTGACTCAGTACCCTGACTGATGATGACGGAAAGTTGTGCATTATCTTCCAGTGCATCAGTGTTCCTGTGTCATTCTTAAGCCAAGAACACACTGTATGATTTCAAACCTAATTAGAACTGTTGATTTGGCCATGATGGCTGATGTTCCAGATAATCCTCATTGCCATGACTACCATGTGAATAAATACGTACATTTGAAAAACACTTTTTTTTATCATCTGCTGGAGTTAGTAATTTGTTTTTATTTTGAGCCTCAACCTCATATGTCAATCCAGTTGGAATCACATTTGGAACGTTAAGATTATCTGTGACTAAATATGTTGCATACACCTTAACCATCACCTTAGCAAGATGCCCTGTAACCTTTATTAACATGCAATTAATAATTGCTGGTCCAAGTTCTATGTTAAGAGAAACCTTGATCATTGATACATGCTGATTTTAATGAAATGGTGAAATTGTAAGAGAAACCATGGCCATTGATGCATGCTGATTTTAATGAAATGGTGAAATTTTGGATATAGAGGAGACATCTCTGATGTAGCAGAGAAGAACTAGTATGTAAACATACTTTCTTCGTTGTTGCTCTAACAAATTGTGCCTGCCCTCTAAGATTCAAAAACAAATCAAAATAACATTCACTCAGTACTAGTAGATGAGATAATCTTTCCTCATATCTGCTCTTAAAGTCACAGTGATGTTACAGAACCTGGTTAATCTATAGATCAGTTGAACTAACTGGTTAAGATAGGTTGAGGAATAAATGAAAAGAACTCTCTGAATATGCTGACCGGAATAATGACTGACATAACATAATGGCCTTCTTGACCTACATAGACCCCTGCCTGGTGGTGTCTCCACAATGTATGAGTGAGGCGGATCGCTACAGCCTGGAAGCCTTGCGGAGCATCCATCACATGATGGACGATGACCAAGATGGTGGGATTGAGGTGGAGGAGAGTGTGGAGGTACAAAACTCTCTCATCATGAAATGTTTTCTTAGTTGTCGTGAATCCTTGTGTGTATGTTCTTGCACGCAAGAGACAGGCCAAGTAAACTAGTGCAACAACAGGTGTTGGAAGACTCAAATGCTACTTCAAGGATAGCAACGGTATAACTTTGCTTTTGGCTTAGTGACAAAATTGGCTTGGACTGAGAGAATACTGGAACACTGGTGACCTTCATAGTCATACTTAAGAATATACTTTCCTTAATGTTTCCCCACTCCTTCTTCCCCTATTCTTCAGTGAGTTTGTTATAGTTGTCACACACAATGTGAAAGATAGTGGTGTAATACACTACAAAAACAAAAGAGAGAAGAATTATTTAATTTGATTCTTTTGTGTATATTTATTTTGATTTTGACAAACAGAAAATCATGCAATTAACAAATACAAATAAGTGAAGGATAATCAACTAATGGTGAATTAAAATCCTAAATGTTTCAAAATTGTGTATAGTATATTACCCCACTGAAGCAAATTTTTGAAGGAGCCAAAAAAGTAAAATAATGTTATTTTGTAATATAAGTAATCAGTCTGAAACATAGACGGTATATAAAGATAGATGACACTTCACCACTTCCTGCTACTATGGAAACGTGTAGCCAAGATATTGAGAATATGGGGCGGCCATCTTGCTTTTGTGATGCAGTTTGCAATCAGATTCTGTGCAGTAGTGATCAGAGGTGGAGCCACAATATCAGTCAAAGCTGTCAATCATTCAAAATATAATAACCTTAATCAGACAAATGACCACTTGTAGACAAATCTACATAAATATATCTTTCTGCTCTGTATGTGTGTTTAAAGACATATTTACTGCATGTAATAGAAGTTTGTTAACATGTGCTTTTGTGCATTTATGAACTACATGTTCTCCGCACCATTTTAATGCGTGTTTAGTTTAATATTTCAGAGTAAATAATATCCAAGTGGAAATGTAATTGCCCCGAGAGTCTGTGAGTCTGTAGTTGTTTTTGACATTGGTTGTAAATCCAGAATTGTAGAACGCCTTAGCCTTCCAGAATGCACTTCAAGGTTACAGTATCCAGGAGCTCGGGTTGCAGTTGCCATAGAGACAACACGGGAGGGGTTTGGGCTCATCATAACACAACCCCAAGATTCTGCTTGCCATCATATGAAGCCTTCGTTTACAGCCAAGGACACATTCCAAGATAGCACTAACACCCAAACACACACACACACACACACACTCATTAAAGTTTGCAATACACACTAATGCTTCTGCATCCATTCTAAATAAGTACAATCACCCACTCCTTATTTCTAGATTGAAATTCAAGTACATAACACAACTGCAACACCCACCCAATTTATTTTGGACAGGGAAGTTGAGAGTTTGTGTTCAGTGAATGTTATGTGCATGTGACCCCTGACCTGGCTCTTTAAGGTTGTCTTTTTTTTCTCCTTTCCTGTGTCTATCCGTTTCTACAGTTCATCATCGAAGACATGAAGCAGCAGCAGACTAACAAACACAGCAACCTGCACAGAGAAGACCAACACATCACAGTGGAGGAGCTCTGGAAGGGCTGGAAGTCATCTGAAGGTGTGTATGTATAAGAGAGGGTGTGTTTGTTTCCAAAGGTGTCCGTCTCTACTTTGTCTCACTTTGTTTGTATTTCAGTACATAACTGGACTCAAGATGAGGTGCTTCGCTGGCTGAAGGAGTTTGTTGAGTTGCCACAGTATGAGAGAAACTTTAAAGACTTTAAGGTCAATGGAAACACACTCCCTAGGTGAGAAGTCAAATACTATAGTCAACCAAAAATTGCTCATGTGAGCTGTTTTCCAAATAAGCCACTCTGTTGTTAAGACTCATATCAACACACTGAATGTGTACTGCCTATAACATCTGTGTGCAGGATTGCAGCTAATGAACCTTCCTTCCTGAGCGGCCAGCTGAAGGTTCAAGATCAGAGAGACAAGCAGAAGCTCAATATCAAAGCTCTAGATGTTGTTCTGTTTGGACCACCTAC